GCAGTGGTGCAGTCTCAGCTCACTGCAACCTCTGCTTCCTGGATTCAAGCAATTCTCATGCCTCAGCCTCCCGAGTAGCTGGGACTACAGGCATGAGCCACCATGCCTGGCTAATTTTTGTATTTTTAGTAGAGACTGGGTTTTACCATGTTGGCCAGGCTTGTATGGAACTCCTGACCTCAAATGATCCGCCCGTTTCAGCCTCCCAAAGTGCTGGGATTATAGGCGGAATCCACTGTGCCTGGCCAGCTTTTGTTGTTGTTGTTGTTTTTGAGACAAGTTTCGCTTTGTCGCCCAGGCTGGAGTGCAGTGGAGCGAGACCTGGACTCACTACAAGCTCCATCTCCTGGGTTCATGCCATTCTCCTGCCTCAGCCTCCCAAGTAGCTGGAACTACAGGTGCCCACCACCACGCCCAGCTAATTTTTTGTATTTTTAGTAGAGATGGAGTTTCACCGTGTTAGCCAGGATGGTGTTGATCTCCTGACCTCGTGATCCACCTGCCTCGGCCTCCCAAAGTGCTGGAATTACAGGTGTGAGCCACTGTGCCCAGCCCAAACAAAACAAAACTGGCCAGTTTTTGTTAAATGTTCATTGAGTCCCTACTATAAGCAGAGTACTATAATAAACATTTTGGAAAAGATACAAAAAAAAAAAAATGTAGTTGCTGTACTTCAGTAGCTGTGGCTTAATCAGGAAAGCTTTCCCAGGGTAAGTTACAATTTTCCTATTAAATTAATTAGGTCATAATAAAAGCATTTTCTCGTTGTTTATAAATAGTTAAAAATGAGGATGTGTTCTTTTCTAAAGTAATGAGATGGGTTATCTTTTTGTTTGCCTGTCTATTTTTACAGGGCCGAGTAGTGGAGAATATTTCAAAACGATGTGGGGGCTTTTTACGAAAGTTAAGTCTTCGTGGATGTCTTGGAGTGGGAGACAATGCATTAAGGTGAAAACATAACTGTTGATTAATCTTCTTGAAGGAAGTGAAGAGCAGCACCATCTCACCCAGAAAAGGCTAAAATTGTTTTAAAATTTCTAAGTTATTAAAAATGCAACCACACATACATTGCTTATAATCTGAAAATATCCAGTAATAAGAAATGTAGTTTTAACAATAAACAAGAACAAGTACTGCCTGAAAAAATCCCACGTTCCCTATCATAAGTGTTTCTTTTGGAGCTTTGAATAAGTTTTTTTTAATTAATTAATTATTTTTATTTTATATTTTGAGACAAGGTCTCACACTGTCACCCAGGCTGAAGTGCCCTGGCATAATCATGGCTCACTGGAGTGCCCTGGCATAATCATGGCTCACTGCAGTCTTGAACTGCTGGACTCAAGCAATCCTCCCCCTCTTGAGTAGCTGTGACTAAAGACATGTACCACCACGCCTGGCTAAGTTTTAAAATTTTTTTATAGAGTCAGCGTCTCATTTTGTTGTCCAGGCTGGTCTCGAACTCTTACACTCAAACAGTCTTCTTGCCTCAGCCTCCCAAAGTGCTGGAATTACAGGCATGAGCCACCGCACCCAGCCTAGTTCTTTTTTAGGGTTATGGTTAACCCTAACCTGGGCAGTGGCCCCAGGACTTTGGGAGGCTAGGTGGGAGGATTACACTTGAGGCCAGGAGTATAAGACCAATCTAGGCAGCATGGCAAGGCGGAGTCTCTACAGAGCGGACTCTCGCTCTGTAGCCCAGGCTGGAGTGCAGTGGCTGGATCTCAGCTCACTGCAAGCTCCGCCTCCCGGGTTTATGGCATTCTCCTGCCTCAGCCTCCCGAGTAGCTGGGACTACAGGCGCCCACCACCTTGCCCGGCTAGTTTTTTTGTATTTTTTAGTAGAGACGGGGTTTCACCGTGTTAGCCAGGATGGTCTCGATCTCCTGACCTTGTGATCCGCCCGTCTCGGCCTCCCAAAGTGCTGGGATTACAGGCTTGAGCCACCGCGCCCGGCCTTAGAAAACTTTTTTTAATTAGCCAGGTTAGGTGACATATGCCTGTAAACCAAGCTACTAGGGAGACTGAGGTAGGAGGATCACTTGAGCCTGGGAGGTTGAGGCTACAGTGAGCCGTGATTGCACCACTGTACTCCAGCCTGTCTCTAAAAATAAATAAATAAGCAATCATTTATTTTTTTAATTTAAAATAATTTTTAAAGTTATGTTTGAAGAATTTATAATTGAAAATTAATTTAAACCAGGTGTGATGGCCCAAGCCTGTAATCTTAGCACTTTGGGAGGCTGATGTAGGTGGATCACTTGAGATGAGGAGTTCAAGACCAGCCTAACCAACATGGTGAAACCTTGTCTCTACTAAAAATACAAAAACTTAGTCAGGCATGGTGGTGCATGCCTGTCATCCCAGCTACTCAGGAGGCTGAGGCAGAAGAATCGCTTGAACCTGGGAGGTGGAGGCTGCAGTGGGCTGAGATGGCACCACTATACTCCAGCCTCAGCGACAGAGAGAGATTCTATCTCAAAAAAAAAAATCATGGCCAGGCTCAGTGGCTCACACCTGTAATCCCAGCATTTAGGGAGGCTGAGGTAGAAGGAATATGAAAAGGTGTATAAGGCAGGGTCTAGAAGGGTCCCAGGCACAGGAGCTTCTGTCCCCGTGGAATTGGGGTATACTACCCTTCTGGCATGTGGTTACATTCACCAACCCAGAAGCTCTCTGATCCCTATCATTTAGGGGTTTTTACAGAGGTTCCTTGATCATAGACATGATTGAAGACCATATATTATATTAGGTTTGTGCAAAAGTAATCACAGTTTTTGCCATTAACAATAATGGCAGTTACTGTTAATTAACAGTAATGGCAAAAACCGCGATTACTTTTCACCAACCTGTAACAAAAGATACTATGACTCAGGAAATTACAAAGATTTTAGGGACTGGATGCCAAGAACCGAGGATGAAGACCAAATACATGTTTTTCCTTTATATCACAGTATCACAGTTATCAACAATCAATATTACCAATAATAATATATTTTATTGCTTTTTTAATGACTGGAATTTTGCTTATTTCATTTGAAACCTCTTACTTTCTTTCCTATAAAGAACCTTTGCACAAAACTGCAGGAACATTGAAGTACTGAATCTAAATGGGTGTACAAAGACAACAGACGCGTAAGTATTTTATGTTTTAGAAGGATAAGTCATAGCCCCTTATGTCTGGCTGATACTACCTTTAAATTCAGGCCACTAACTATATTTAGCAAATTTTATATTGGTTTTGTAGAGGAAAGATATTTTTAAAAGAGAAGGCAGCATCAAAGTAGAAATGGAATGAGAAACTTGTTTTGGAATTCTATCTTCGATATTTAAGGTGAAACTTTCAATAATTGTCGTCAATGTAGATACAGTAGGGATAGTAATAATACATATTACTGGGATTATTTATATTTCAAGATACTAGTAGCTACCAATTAAAAGCCACAGTAAACATAATTCTATGAAAAGATTAAAATCTTAAACAGAGGACTAAACAGCTTATGATAATCAGTCCTGAGAACAGTTATTAAATGAAAATGATTCACTAAACGTGCTGTCTCTCTGTTGGTCATGATCTGAAGGAAATTAAGCTTAATTCTTCATCCTCAAGAGGCTTACAGTCCCAGAAATTAGACCTAGAAGGTAGTTATTCATTAACTCTACTAATAAGTATTTCTTTTTTTTTTTCTGAGATGAAGTCTCGCTCTGTCGCCCAGGCTGGACTACAGTGGTGCAACCTTGGCTCACTGTAACCTCCGCCTCCTGAGTTAAAGCGATTCTCCTGCCTCAGCCTCCCAAGTAGCTGGGACTACAGGCACATGCCACCACGTCCAGCTAATTTTTTGTACTTTTAGTAGAGACGAGGTTTCACTGTGTTAGCCAGGATGGTCTCGATCTCCTGACCTCATGATCTGCCCGCCTTGGCCTCCCAAAGTGTTGGAATTACAGGCATGAGCCACCGCGCCCGGCCTCTACTAATAAGTATTCCTATAGATTGATTTGGAAACCTTTACTGTGAGAGATGAAATATACTAACCTCTTCCCCCACCATTACTTTATACCAACAGAACTACATTTGCTTTAGATAAATTATCTTTTAATTTTTGTTTCCTTTGAGTACTTATGTTATAAAGATTAAGAATTTGACCACTTGGTATCTAGAAAAGTGACATGTAATTAATATTTTTTGTCAGAATCTATCTTATCCTCAAGATGCATTGGCGAAAACATAATATATATGTGCAAGGCTACTATATTACTTGTAATAGCAAAAGATAGGAAACTACCCAATGTCTATCAGTAGAGTACTGGTTGAATAAAAGTAATGAGGAAAATCTCTATATAATACTCTGGAGTGATCTTGAGGACATGTTGTTAAATGAAGAAAAGGAAACTGCAGAGGAGTTTGTATAATACACCTTTTGTAGGGCCAGAAGACTTAATACATATATATATATATATCTCCATATTTATTTATTTTCAAAAAGAATGGAAATGCCAATCAAAAATAAAGTAAGTAAAAATAGTTGTTTATATGGGGAAGTGAGAAAACACAAGGGACAGGGATAAAAGGGAGAACTCTGAATTATGTTTTATCGTTTAATAGCCATGTAAATATTTTACATCATTCAAACAAAAATTAAGTCAAAAAGAAACGAAAGCAATCCCTACAAATTAAAAACACATGAACCGGCCTAGTGCAAGTGACTTAGGCCTAAAATCTCCGCACCTTGGGAGGCTGAGGTGGGTGGATAACTTGAGGTCAGGGGTTCAAGCCAGCCTGGCCAACACGGTGAAACCCCGTCTCTACTAAAAATGCAAAAATTAACCAGGCATGGTGGCACATCCCAGCTACTTGGGAGGCTGAGGCGCAATAATTGCTTGAACCCAGGAGGTAGAGGTTGCAGTGAGCTGAGATCACACTACTGTATTCCATCCTGGGCGAAAGCGCAAGACTCTGGCTCAAAGAAAAAACCCCTTGAACCCAAGCTGGAGTTATAGTCACACAGAAATTACTTCTGCTGACTTTTTTTAAATGTGAAAATTTGAAACATATACAGAAGTAGACAAAAAAGTGTATTGAGCCCATCACTCAGCTTTAACTGTTACCAGTTTACGGCCAGTCTTGTTTCATGAATAACTCCACCCACTTATCCTCTCTCATTTTATCTTATTTTGAAGAAAAGTCCTAGACATCATATTATTTAATCTGTACTTCAGTATGTACTCTTTAACAATAAAAGTCTCTCATGTAAGTGCATTAACTTTTATTGTTTGTTTATTTTGAGATGATGTCTTGCTCTGTTGCCCAGGCTGGAGTGCGGTGGCGCGATCCCAGCCCAGCTTCCTGAGTACCTGGAATTACAGGGGGGTGCCACCATGCCCGACCAATTTTTGTATGTTTAGTAGAGACAGGTTTTCACCATATTGGCCAGGCTGGTCAGGAACTCCTGACCTCAGGTGATCTGCCCACCTCGGCCTCCCAGAGTATTGAGATTACAGGTGTGAGCCACCACGCCTGGCCGTAAGTGCATTAACTTTATCACTGCTCTAAAAACAATATCTTAAAATCATCAGATAACCAGTTGTCAGTATTCACATTTCCACGTTTTACTGAATTTAAAAATACACTATTTTAAACACAGTATTAGCCTTGAAATACACAAATTTTTTAAATCAAAGAAGCAGCAGGGGACTGTGGCTCACTCCTGTAATCCCAGAACTTTGAGAGGCCGAGGTGGGTGAATTGCTTTGGCACAATCTCAGCAACATGGCGAAACCCCACCTCTACAAAAAATAGAAAAAATTAGCCAGGCATGGTGGTACATGCCTGTAGTCCGAGCTACTTGGTAGCCTGAGGTGGGAGGATTGCTTGGGCTTGGGAGCTTGGGAGCCAGAGGTTGTAGTGAGCTGAGATATGTGTCACTGCACTCCAGCTTGGGCAACAAAGCAAGACCCTATCTCAAAAAATAATGAAGAAGCAGCCAGGTGTGGTGGCTCTCACCTGTAATCCCAGCACATTGGGAGGCTGAGGCAGGAGGACTACTTGAGACCCAGGAGTTTGAGCCTAGCCTGGCCAACATAGTGAGACCCTATGTCTTAAAAAAAAAATCCAAGTAGACTTCTGCTTCTCACAGTGATAATAACTGCCCTCCTGCTGTAAACAACTAGAAAACTAAACAAAACCTAGAAGACCAGTTTAGGATGTTGTACATGTAGCACAAGACTGAGAAACAAATGAAGTGAGCCATATGATTATCCTCACTTTGTGACTGAGGCATTTTTCAGACAATGCCGTATGTAGATTTGGCTGAATAGTAAACTCTGCATGCACAGGATGAGACCCCACACAGGTTGGCAAAGAAGATCTAGTGAGGAAAAAAACAATTACTGGGAAACTATAAGCCAAATAATTTCTAGGACTTAATAAGGTTGGATGAAGTTCCACCCACCCAAAATGGAGAAAATTCATTGAACACCTGGGACATTCAATAAAGACTCCAGAAAGATTACACCTTGGTAGTAGAGCTAAACTAGACCTGCTCTATTAAATATTTTTATTTATTTATTTTATTTTATTTTATTTTAAGAATCAGACTGGGCACGATGGCTCATGCCTGTAATTTCAGCACTTTGGGGAGGCCGAGGTGGGCAGATCACCTGAGGTCAGGAGTTCAAGACCAGCCTGGCCAACATGGTGAAACCCCATCTCTACTAAAAGTACAAAAA